AGAGAGAGAGAGAGAGAGAGAGAGAGAGAGAGAGAGAGAGAGAGAGATGAGCTAGTGGCCTCCAACAGAAGGCGGCAGGGTAATATGACGGCGTAGGGGGGAGGAGTTGGCGCAGGAAAGGGAGGAACAGAAGAGAAGAGGGGGGGACCTTAAATATGCATGCGGGCACGTCAATATGCGCGAAGTCATGTTTGAAAGCGCACACCCACACACAAAAAGAGTGTGAGTGAGACGAGCAACATTGTTCGTGAAGGCGATAAGACGGCAAGAAAGGTAAAGAGAGAATCTTTCTTTCGCTAGCTACCCACCACTGTAAGGCTATACTGCAGGGAGTTTACCACTCGGCGGAGTGAGGTGACGGCATGTTTGCCCCTTTGCCCTACCGATAGTGTCTCAAGTCTGGTACGCCTTTTTTGTACAAAAATAAAATGAAAATTCTCGAGTTTTCTCTTCTTTGTACGCCGTTTCCATCTGTTGAACATTGTGAAGCACGGAATATCAGGCAGATGCATGCAGGTACAGTCATAAAATTTAATGGGGTCAGGTAAATGTGAACGTCCCACTCATTAGCGACGCACTTCACACTATTCACAGTGCTCTCAGGGCATATCCACACGGGGACTTTTTACTTGTATTTGGACGGAATTGCAGCCGGATGATGTGAACGTCCCACTCATCAGCGAGGCAGTTCACACTGCTCGCGGGCGTACTCACACTGGGACTTCGGACTTGTTTCTGGACGGAGATGCGGCCAAATGCATACAGGTCACGCCATAAAGTGCGCCCTCAGAAGACTTGTAGTAGATGATACTTGCAATCCACCGTCGTCCCCGAATACAGATATAAAGACAGTCTGGCAAAAGGAGATGTATTTAGACTGAAAGATATCTCGAACAGGTACACTCGAGAGTCGCTTGTCAGCCAAAAAAGTGCAAAAGCGAGTCTGACAAAAACGTTGCCTTCTCTCACCGCACATATTTTTGTCATTTGCTTTTCTCTCCCCTCACATATTTTTGTCATGGAACATATCTTTCTTTCACTACCCCTACCTAACCTCGCTTCACGGAAGAGGGGTAGAACGCTATGCTTGCCGGCACCAGGCAATTCAGAAATGTTTGGTTTTACTCGTCGAATTGCATCAACTGGATTTGAACTCGGGTTTGTATTTCAATAGTCCATGGGTGTACACAATGAGCTTGGCTCCTTCGTCTCGGACGATCTCTATCGGCCTGTGCTATTTTCGACACCTTGTGTCTAGTAGTTGGAAAAGTGTTCTGAGGTCCTCCGGGACATGCGTCAAAATTGGAACCACACAGAGAAGATTAGCATGGACCCTGTGCAAGGATGAGGGCCCACCACAGGGATCAGGTAAACAACAGCAGCACGAGGACCTCAATCTGGAGGAGAACAGTTTTTGAGAATGCGGCAGGAACACATGGCTGGAACTGGCCGCCAACAAGGAACTAGAAACATAATATTATGATATAATGATAGCGGGGAATAAGGCCACAGTCACAGCGACCACAAGAAGACGACGGTTTTATGCATCCACAGAGGCAGACAGTCCATCCAGAAGCAGCAGCGGCAAAAGGTACAGCAGCGTACACCAAGGGAATTACATGCAGTAGCAGCGGTTCCTGCGGCCAGAGTTGGAAACTTGCATACAAACAGTCAGTCGGAGACTCGCTCACAAACAGGCGGCACACAGCAGGTTGATGAATGTGGCCGATCGTATAAGGGTTTTTGTGGAGGCCACTAAGTGGTTGATGCGCGTGTTGGGAGATGATTTCTGCTCACACTATGAGGTGTCCTTTTTCGTCCAAACCGTGATGAAGCCAACTCTATGGGCATCCACGCATTGCGCCTTCGATGCGCGTTGACACATCACACAAGTCGCGGACGTCGTGACGGAGAGGCTCCGCAAGTTCACAATTACTTTGGGGGATTTCCTTCACTACATCCATGATTGTGCATCATGCTGTGCAAAAGTTGGCTACGATGCAAGTTTGTCATCGCTCAATGATGCGAAATGTTTGGATTGGTTGGGAACAGGGTCCCCGGAAGAGGAGGACGGTGAGGGCCAGCAACAGAATGGAGGCGGGGGCTAAGGGGTCTTGATTATGGACATGCGCAGACTATGGATGGTGGCAGTGTCGACTGGACAGCTGTGAAGGCAATGCTAGAGTGCTTACATTTTTATTTATTTTTTTGGGCGTGCTTGTATTTTGTAGTTTTGGCTGGAAGAAGACAACTGCTTCAATGTTAATGTCAACGTAGGGTCTGTGTCTCTCTCGCTCTGCACTTTGTCGTCGCCGATGTCTGGAAGACGTTAATGTGGTAGAGGGTAGGATGCGCAACATGCAACAGTTATTTCAATAGAGTCCGTGGACACTTGGGGTTGGTGTTGAAGTGTCGAAGTCCGAAGGGTTGGGAATCTGATTTCTTTACGAATGCTCTTGCTATTTTCTCATATTCGTATGGATTTCGTCATGCTGACATTGATATGAAACCCTGTTGGGTCTAGTTTTATGTTTTGAAGTTGTTGTTTGTTATATTTGTCTGTTTTTATGTTTTTCCTGCTGTTTTCTGTTCTTCTTGAATGAGAAAGTTGTCATGGCATTGTTTATTTTCATTGTTTCATGCAAGGGCCGTCATGTATGTGAAGGGAGACTGGACGTCGAATAGCTCATGCATAAAATAATATGTACTTAATGTTGTCGCAACTCGAAATTGAATTCATTCCCTGCTTGACAACAGTCACTCACACACTGTGTCTGAATTTGGATTCAAAAGTTGGTCCCACGTTGAATTGGCGTTGAATCCCCGTCTAAACACGCGTTAGATGCAAAAAAACGGGGTCTGCCAACTGGGATTTCGCGCAGATGGCGGGGGAGTACGGAGTTTCTGAGGGCCTGGGGTGGCCTGTTGGGTACCACCTCATGCCCTCAGATTTTTTTTCATTTTTTTTGAAAAAAAAAGAAGATGCTGGGTGATGTCGTGCGCGGCAGGGGGAATGGCTACAAAGAAGGCCATTTCACTCGGCCGCACTTCATTTGCCGCCCGAGCCCAAAGGCTTCAACGCGACAAACGCGGTTTGTCCCACGTCCAATGCGCGCGCGACAGAGAGAGAGAGACACAGAGAGAGAGAGAGAGAGAGAGAGAGAGAGAGAGAGAGAGAGAGAGAGAGAGAGAGAGAGAGAGAGAGAGAGAGAGNGAGAGAGAGAGAGAGAGAGAGAGAGAGAGAGAGAGAGAGAGAGAGAGAGAGAGAGAGAGAGAGAGAGAGAGAGAGAGAGAGAGAAGCAGCGGGAGCGGCGACTGGAGCGAAGCGGAAGCGGTACCGGAGCGGGAGCGCTGGGGGAGCGGGATCGGCTACAATGGCAGATTTGCACTCGCGGTGGCGACGAACGTTGAACGCGATTCAACATGTTTCAACTCAATTCAACAGCATTGAACGCGATTGAACGAGGGCGTTCAGCGGCCGCGGCCATTCGTCGATGTGCGGCGTTGTGAGACGGGGTTCGGGCGGTTTTGTAATGGTGGGGGGGCCAAGGCAGACTGGGGGCGACAGACGGCGGGGGTTGCGAGGCTTGTGGAATGGGCTCCGGGTCGGCGCTTCGGAGCGGGAAAGAGGGCAGAACGACGCCATGGGGGGGGCACAGCGGCATCATCATAAGCCCGCTCCGGAACATGTACAGGAGACGTTCAAGGGTTGCTCCTCTGCGTATCGGTACCTTGTCGTGGCCCAGAAGGTCGGCAAATGGGGGTGATGATGTTGTGTTGCACATTTTGCAACAACAAGGGGACCCGCCGCAGCGGTGCCAGCGGCGGAGTCGAAAGGGGGAGGAAGGAGTGCAAGGTGAGGACGAAGGAGATGTGGAAGTTGAGATCTTACAAATGTCCAAACCCAAACGCCCTAACCCGAACGCCCGAACGTACGGGACCCCTTCGGAAGGCATTCCGCCGTTCGCGCCGAACGTGGACCAAAACAAAAAAAAAAACAAGAAACAAAAAACGTTTTCAAAAAATCCAGGGAAAAAAAATGTTCTGCAGAAAAATAAACTTAACAACATTTGCCTGGGCACTACATCCAAATTCTT